CATCGATAGTTATAATATTTTGTGCTTTTGAACGGTTGTAAATGATCGCCAAAATTTGAAAAAGTGTCGAAGTACGTACTTTATACACGATACTTTTGCATATTTACGAAAAGTTCTTTACCTGACACGAAATCTATACACAGGATCTGATTCTGCAGACATTTCTGAAGAAGAGACTGTCCAACAGAAGTGTAGAAGCCGTTCTTAATTGTCACAGGTCGAGAAAATGTATATTGGCAACACGTGCACGGCGTTTTACCGTCACGCGGCCATCGTTAGCCTACCTCGGCTCGGCAGTGCCGTAGCTACGCATAATGGATGCGACACCGATAATATCTTAGGCTCCCAATTCCTGTATATGTTTATCATTTTTGATTTTTTAATCTGTTTGTGGATTTGTACAAAACATTTCTCGATCATTTCCATTTCTAAACATTTTCAATGTTCATTGTATGTATATGAATGGTTTTTTAAATATAAAGCCGTAAAAAAATAAACAACATTTTATTGTTGGGTTGCCTCACAGAATAGGAATAATATTCCTAAGAGCGAAGTGTGAATAGCAAGGATTTACTCCAGATCTTTCTAAGAAAAGCGTACATGCTCGAGTGATTCCATTGATAAGTTTGCATGGATTTTGCAAATATTATTCAGTGATTAGTATCCTAAAGTATACAAATATATTAAGCAATAAAAGTTAAAAAAAAAATCAAACATACCATACAAGGTGTTCGGCCACCTCTGAGAAAAATTTTAATGGGAGATTCTAGAGGCCAAAATAAAACGAAAATCAAGAACACCAATTTGTTGATGGAGGCTTAGATAAAAAGTTATTAACGTTTAAAGTTCCGCCTGTACTGAATTTTTTTCTCAAAAATGCGCAGAATTTCGGGGGTATGTCTATTCACCAAAAATGATTGTAATTGACCCACGCAATCGAAAATAATTTTTCCAGAACGATTTGAAATTATTATTTTACGTCGAAAAACACCTTCTCGAATTTTTTCTAGAAAGTGGGTAGGATTTCGAGGGTATGTCTATTCACCAAAAATGATTATAATTGACCCTGCAACCTAAAACAATTTTTCCAGAACGATTTGAAATTTTTGTATTTAATTGTTAATAACTTTTTAACGAAGCCTACATCAACAAATTAATATTCTTAATTTTCGTCTTATTTTGGCGTCTAGAATCCCCCACTAAAATTTTTCCCAAGGGTGGCCGAACACCCTTGTTTAAAGATTGCATAATGCCGAGCGATTAGCCTCGGCCGCAATTACCGTTAATCCTGTTAACGTACAATAACCAAGAGATTATCTCTAATTGGATTTGTATAGCGAACGGTGATTGAAAAACGTGTGTATTATTAGTTTTTCTGGCATCGGTAACGGCTCATTACCTTTCGATTCGAGTGTGCTAACGGTGTTAGTGACGTCAGTACCGTGAGAGAGTAGTGCGCCGATAATGTGACAAGGAGAGACGGCCGAAATTCAGACAGCGCCACGGATCGACCAGTAAGAGTACCGCGGCGACGTCTTCGGCTATCAATCCGGAACATTCTTACGGCGACTTCTGAACGAGACGCATCGGTTCCCGATCATATTCGATCAGAAGTTAATCGCGATTTAAGAGGGAAAATCCTCTTGCGAGAAAGCCGAAAAGACTGCTGTTTGAAAGGGTGTAGCGAGCCTTGCTCGAAAAGGTCGGAAAATTCATTCCCACCTTGCTTGGAAAACACGATTCGCATCTCGATTCGTGCAAGTTCACCTGATTCTCGTTCGAGCAAATCTCGATCGAGTTTAATTAATTTAAATTTACTGCAGATTTTGGAGGGCTCGAGAATACACCAATAGGGTGTTCGACCCCTCCTGTGCGGAATTTAACGGTCGATTCCAACGTATAAACGTTGAATCATATAGAAGTCGGCGGTTACCGTCCATACTTCTGTGTGATTGCCCTTCGGCATAGGAGACACCAAAAGGAGGCACCTACGTGGTGTACCTCCTGGTGGGCTCACTGTAGTCAGGTCGGCGTCCATTTCGGACGTGTGATTTTCGGTCTTCGCCTCCTTATTTCTACAGATCCCGCCGGTGTAACGTTTAGAGGAGCACCAGTGCGGAGAAGTAACGGAGTCGTGGGTCAGGCCCCCGCGTAGTTCAAAATACTGCAACGTATCACGTCGAGTAGTGTATTCGTGCAGTGAACAACGTGTTGTCGGGCTTCGCAGTGTAACTCTCGGCCAAATAAGTCATCTGTTGGAACGTGTTAAGAGAAGCCGCAGATTGACGGTCGTGCAGTGCACTGCAGTGCGACTCGACGCACAGACTCAGTGTGCATACTCACGGGAACAGTGCATTAGGAGCCTTACAACCTCCTTGTTCGCGCCCGAATTCTTGTTGGTCGGATTGGAGTGAATGCGATGTCGTCGTGTTGGAGAGTTTTCAAATGGTTTATTGTTAACAATAACAAAGTGGACTGTATGATATGTTTTCAAGCGCGTTGAACTGTGGGAGGAACTGTTTCCCCCGCGCTTACTTTAACAAAATGCGTTCAACTCAAGTACAACTGCTGTACTGTTACAGACTTGTTAGTTAGACTTATTCGGTTAACGACTGAACCGGGAATTGAAACTGGTTTGTCGGTTGACGACTGAAACTAGAATGCAATTGTGTCCGGAGTCCGTTTCCTCCTCAGCTTAGATCCCCTCCAAGAGGTACACTTGGGGGTGTTTTGCAAATTCCTCTGTGGAATCGTGAGTCGATTGATTGGCCATCGGCTTGGGAGAGGAGGACCCATTTTCCTGCCCCAGTTTGGCAGCAAACTCCTCCTTCACCTCGGTGGTGGAGGAAAGTCCCGGGCCACGCTGGCGAGGGTGGCCGAGGTTTCCTCCCCAAGTCGACGGCCGCGTTAATTTATCGAGGAAGAAACGGAACTCCGGATTATCCACGCAACAAGGGGTTGCGTCTGGTCTACGTCTGTTTTTATGGCTATATTGTTCCGCGTGTCGGCGATGGCCGTTGTCGTCGGTGCCTACATTTGGCCTCGACGACCGTACCACCCGCGGAACAATATAGCCCTTCGCTGGTCAACTCGAGTGTCGCGTTTCTTTCGTTTTCCAAAAATGCTATTCTTTTACATTGACATTTGCCAGATGCGAGAGACTCGAAGACGTTTGCAACGTAGTACCGATCCCGCATCTGGCAACATAAAGGACCGGAAACAACTCGAGTTGGCCAGCGGAATGAGCGAGCTTTCGTTTACCGAACACTCCTCTTGCATCCCCGTCCACTGGGCAATCGACCACTGAATCGGCGAAGAAAAGAAGTTTAATTCTTTTCCTAGCCAAAATACAGTCCACTTTTATATTTCGTAATTTACGACAAGTTTACAATTCTCCGCTCCGGTACGTTCGAATTACGAAGCCAGGAGCGCGAGCAAACGAGCGCGACGAAGATACGTATAACGTGTACGTGTGTCTAACACATAGTCGTGTTTTTCTGTTCATAGGAATCTTGGCCTACCTCAAGCTGGCGAGAGGAACGACCTGGCCTCGCGGAACGGCCAGAAACGAGGCCAAAGATTAATTCATATTGTTCAGTCTCGTTAATTTTTACTATAATTGTTCATTGGTTTTTTCTTTTTGTTTTTCCGTTATTTTTGTAATAAAAGGTCGTTCTTAAAGGCCGACGAAAAGAAAACCATTTGTGTCCGATTCACTTCCCCGATAATTCTCCCACACCTCTATCCGGACTCATACGTTAAAAGTATACCAAGCTTTTTAACATAAGGTCCTTCGAGCCGGATATTGAGGTAATCGGAGAAAGGGAAGTGTTGGACGTAATACACGCGAGTTTCTCCCGTGTACGGTTGTTTTGAATAACTTTACCTTCAACAACCATGTCCGTTACGAAAGATCCCGACTGGTCTGACCTTGGGGCATACCTCGAGAACCTGACCAGAGGGATGGAACGGATAAATAGGGCGTCCATCAACCTCAAAAAGATGGGTCGAGCCAAATATACCCAGAAAATTCTGGAAGAAAGGTTCGATTACGTTAAAACTCTGTGGCAACAGATGAACGATCAGTGTATGGTCGTGTGTAGGCTTCTCCCTCCTGGGGAACGACACGATTATGAGTTGTTCCAACGGGATTTCATGGGGGAAACCGAAAACGAGTTTCTGGAGTTCCAGGCCTATGTGGCCGCGGAAATAACCCGACTCACCACAGGTCCAAGAACGGTGATGTCGGAAATCCAGCAAACAATACCGATCGAACTCCCGAAGATGAGGTTGGAGAAATTCGACGGGGATTCTTCGAAATGGGAACATTTCGAGGACCTATTTACCGCCGGAGTAATAAACAACCCCACGTTAACGGATGTGCAAAGGTTACAATACCTAAACACCTGTATAACCGGGAGAGCCGCAGCCGCTATCGCATCTCTTGCGATAACGGATAATAATTTCTCAGTGGCATGGTCAACCCTGAAGACAGAATTCGGGCTCCCACGCCTGGTACTGGTCGAGATACTTGATCGAATCCTGAGAATGACAAAAATCCGAAAAGGCGACCTGTCGAGTGTTCAGCAGGTTACCATCGGCTTTCGGCAAGCACTCGCTATCCTTGCTAAAAAAGGAAAAGCGGAAGAGCAGCTTAGTTGGCTGCTCACGCACATTGTAGCGAGCCAATTCGATGCCGCGTTGCAAGGGGAATGGGAACGATCCCTCAAAATGTCAACGGAATATCCGATGATAGAGGAGATATTCAGATTCCTCGATCAATAGGCGCGGGCTATGTCCGTAATTGACGAACATAACCGCAAAATTGCCTCAAAACAGGAACAGAAGCCACGAGTACGGAGTCATAACACCGTCGTGGATTCCCCCCCTGCGCAGCGAAAGTGCACGATTTGCGGACAAACGCATGCACTCTCGGAATGCGGCACATTTAAGCGTTTCTCCGCACTGGTACGTTACCAGATCATAAAGGACAGTCAGGGATGTATAGCCTGTCTGGCCCTGGATCACGACGTAAGAGGCTGCCGGAGCCAACAAGGTTGTTCGAGATGCAGTGGCAGGCATCACACCCTGTTGCATTTCGAACAACGCGAAAAATAGGCGGAAAGCCAAAAGCCGAAATCGAAATATTTCGAACGGCAAGCGCGAGGAACGGCGAGATAACGCCCCTCCACAGCGCCGTACGGCTAAGGCGAAAGCCGGCATCGATACCTCGAACGCACAAGCAGCTACGTCACGGGCCACTACGTCACACTGTACGGCGAGTACAGACGTACCGAGGCCGGTGCTATTAGCAACCGCGATCGTACGAGTGTACGGAGAAAACGGTGCGTCGCGTTTAACGCGCGCGCTGTTAGATCAAGGGTCCGAAACATCCTTCATCTCGGCGAAATTGAGGAATGACCTCAACCTCCCGAGGAAGAAAACCTCAGCCACGGTATCGGGCTTGGGGGGTGGTCGGACCCAAAGAATCAAGTACAGCGTAGGGCTGAATTTGGGAGCGGCTTCCGGGGTAACCCCTGTGGTTTCGGCGAGAGCGTACGTCGTGACAAAAATCACGAGTTATGCCTCGCCATCAGTAAACGCGCTCGATAACGACGCGTTGCGAAACCTGAAGCTCGCCGATCCCGAGCCCGCGTCTGGCCAAAACATTGAAGTTTTGATCGGCGCAGATTTGTACGCTCAAGTTATTCGGTCGGGATTCCGTCGAATATCTCCCGAAGGGCCTATTGCACAAGAAACTGCATTTGGCTGGATATTATCCGGACCGATAGATGCAGCGAGCAAGGCCCAGGGTCACGTGCGAACGTTGCATTGCAATATACTCGAATCGCTGGATCACGCGATTCGACGGTTCTGGGAAGTTGAAGAAATCCCTTCGACCTCAGTACTGACAAAAGCAGAGGAAGAATGCGAAGCGCATTTCCAAAACACTGTCGCACGGGATGCAACGGGAAGATTTATTGTCCGATTGCCGTTTAATCATCCGAAACCGGAAGGTGCATTGGGAGATTCACTCCGTATCGCCCTCTCCGCATTGACAAGGTTGAGAAGGAAATTGGACCAGGATCAGACCCTCGTACGAGAATACCAAGAGTTTCTCACGGAGTATGAGTCGTTGGAGCACATGACTCGTATCGAGCCCTCTGAAAAATCCAGACTCTACATTCCGCATCGAGAGGTCATCCGTACGGAGAGTGCAACTACCAAACTGCGAGTCGTGTTTAATGCGACGAGCCGTACGGTGGGTGGAAACTCCCTAAACGACATCCTACACGTAGGGCCGAAATTGCAGAACGACATCACGTCCGTTTTGACGAGATGGAGGCTGTACGAATACGTGTTGGTGGCCGATATCGAGAAAATGTTCAGACAAATTCTCGTCGCCCCGCAGGATCGTCGATTTCAGTGCATCTTATGGCGCACGCCCGAAACCGAAGGGCTTCAAGCCTTCGAATTAAACACCGTTACGTACGGAACGGCATATGCACCATATTTATCGATGCGTACTCTTCTCGAGCTGAAAAAACGGGACGGTGACAGATTTCCTCTCGCCGCTCCGATACTCGAGAAAGACATATACGTTGATGACGTATTTATGGGGGCACCCGATACGACCCTATTGGAGAAAATTCGTATTCAAGTTTGCGAACTCCTACAGGGCGGCGGGTTTAAATTGAGAAAGTGGGCTGGCAATTCACAGAAATTACTGCGAAACATCCCACAAAATTCTCACTCCCACGCTGTCGATCTCACCTTATTCGATGACTCCGAACTCAAGGTGCTCGGATTGCGATGGATACCATCGGGTGATTACTTCTATTTCAACCTGCAACGGTTTCAACCGGCTGCAGGTCCGATTACAAAACGGACTTTGTTTTCCGAAATAGCCAAACTTTACGATCCGCTCGGCTGGTTATCACCAGTCGTAATTCGGGCGAAGATTTTGATGCAATCCCAATGGCGGGAAAAAATCCAGTGGGACGATCATGTCTCCGCGAATACGTTAAAATCGTGGAACACGTTTTGCGAGGATTGGAGCAGTTTGGAAAAGGTAAAATTTCCCAGATGGATCCGTTACGGAGCAGACACAGTTTCGGTGGAATTACACGGATTCTGCGATGCTTCGCTCGGAGCGTACTCGGCCGTTACGTATTTACGCGTAACGACCATGACCGAGGAAGTTTACACAACCTTGATCATGGCAAAAACGAGGGTGGCTCCTATAAAAACGCAGTCGATTCCGATTCTCGAATTGAATGGAGCTGTACTGCTTACCGAGCTTATAGTGCACGTGGGACGGTCACTTTCCATAAAAATTGACCGCATAATCTGTTGGTCAGATTCCACTATTACACTTGCTTGGTTGAAAAAACATGCTTCGACTTGGAAGGTTGTGATAGCCAACCGAGTATCAAAAATCCAAACCTTGCTTCCGAAGGCTGAATGGAGACACGTTCCCACCCGCTTCAATCCCGCGGATTTGAATTCGCGCGGTGTCGAAGCAGCGGAACTCATTCAGTCGAAGCTATGGATTTCTGGACCAGCATGGTTGAGACAATCTGAAGAAAATTGGCCGAAAACGCCTGATTCCATCGATACGAGCGAGGGCAAGCGCATTCCGCACGCCCACGTTGCAACTCCAGAGAAAGAATGGGAATTCGTGTTTCGATTCTCAACCTGGAGTAAGCTACTTCGCGTAACTGCATATTGTCTCCGATTACGAAGACCGATGCAAGGTGAGCGAAGGTCGTTCGATGCAAACATTGTCGAAGCTTCAGAATTGCAGCTCGCCAAGGAAAGAATCGTCCGCTACATACAGCGAACGCACTTCGCGGGCGAGTACCAGTGCTTAAAAAAGCGCAGGGAAATTCCCGCGAAATCTCCATTAAAACGTCTAAACCCGTTCCTAGACGCACACGATGTCTTAAGGGTAGGTGGACGATTGGAGAATGCGACGCTGGCATGGGAAGCGAAGCACCCCATAATTTTGCCAAAACATCATGTGTCCACCATGATAATCCGGCAGTGCCACGTAAATACGTTGCATGGGGGCTTGCAGCTGACGATATCCATGGTAAAACAGCAATTTTGGATCCTCGGTTGCAGAACTACGGCTCGAAAGGTCATTCATCAATGCATGAAATGCGTGAGATGGAGGGCACAAACCTCCACGCAGATCATGCAGGATTTGACCTTGGAACGAAGTCGCCCAGCCCGGGCTTTTCTAAACTGCGGAGTTGATTATGCGGGACCGTACAAAGTCCGCGACTCCGCAGGCCGAGGAAAAACAGCTCATAAAGCGTACATAGCGGTTTTTGTCTGCTTCGCTACAAGGGCTGTCCACATTGAACTCGTCCATGATTACACGACGAGTGCATTTTTGGCTGCATTGGAGCGATTCATTGCCCGACGAGGAATCCCGTCCTGCATAAGCAGTGACAACGGGACAAATTTCGTCGGTGCAGATCGTGAATTAAGAAAACATTTCAATATGGTGTGTAAAACGCCGGAAATGCGAAACGAATGTGGCCAGAAGGGCATTCGGTGGAAATTTAATCCACCCAGTGCCCCTCACTTCGGTGGGATGCAGGAAGCTGGTGTCAAATCAGTGAAGCATCATTTGAAGCGCATCATAGGAGAATTCACTCCCACGAGCGAAGAATTACAGACGTTACTCTGTAAAATCGAAGCCAGTTTAAACTCGCGACCGATTGCCGCTCTGAGTGACAGCCCAGATGATTAGGCGCCTCTCACACCGGCCCACTTCCTAATCGGAGGGCCTACGTTGGCACCCCCAATGGAATCCGTGGAAAATGTAAATATTTCGCATCTTACAAGATGGAGAGCAATGCAAAAATTCCACGAGCAGCTCTGGAGACACTGGACGAGAGATTATCTCACGCATCTCCAGAACCGCTACAAATGCCAGACGGAAAATACACGCCTAAAAAAGAACGATCTTGTTCTGGTACAGAATCCTCTCCTCCCCCCCAAATCAGTGGGAAATGGGAAGAATAGAGGAAGTATTTCCGGGAAAGGACAGGCATGTACGTGTAGTGAAAGTACGTACAGCCAAATCCACATATACACGACCAATTACGCGATTGTGTAAATTGCCTGTGGCTGAGTTTTCGTTTGAGTCACCTTCGGCAACGGTCACCGAAGTCGAACAGGTGATCTAAACAAAACCGTTCAAGTTCGAAAGTACAAGGATTTCGGAAGGTGAGAACGGTTGATTCTCACCGGCCGCTTGTCGTCTATGCGAAAACGGAAAGTAGGTGGTAATATCCACCAATCTCGTTATCGCTTAGGCACGGGGACAATTAGCCTCCGCTAACGCCCCTAAATCGAAATTTGAACGACTCTTCGCCGGAAAAGATCAGTTCCTGATCAACCATGGAAGGCGAAAGTACACCTTTGAGCCCCGCGACCCCGGAAAGCGCGATATCCTCGCCGGGATTCGATGTCGCATTCGAGCGCATCCTCCAGCTGGGAGGGCTGGCAGAAATGCCCCCCACAAAATTAGAGGCCGAGGAGACTCCGCCAGTGCCCTCGACCAGCAAGGGAGGTCAGGAGCCCCTGCTCTTCCCAGTGGGCAGGCGCGTAATCGCCGTGCCGGCGCACATCCCACGCACCACTCGCCGGTGGAAGTGCCTCGTTCCCGGAGGACGCTACGTCCTCCGGTGGTACAAGGTCGGGACGCTGAAACTCCTGCGACCACCGGAGGGACAATCCGCCGACGCCGTTGGAGGCCCTGCAGGCGGTTCTCAATTCCCAGCAGGTGATGCAGGGAAAACCACCAGCGGCCCAACAACTGTAAGTAAATTGCATTTTTTTTAAATTTGCATGCGCCTACTCTCACTCGGGTCGCGGCCATTCGGTAGAATCGCTCCCTAGTTCATTGCACGGACCGTGCAAGGGGGGCGGTATGTTTAAAGATTGCATAATGCCGAGCGATTAGCCTCGGCCGCAATTACCGTTAATCCTGTTAACGTACAATAAGCAAGAGATTATCTCTAATTGGATTTGTATAGCGAACGGTGATTGAAAAACGCGTTTATTATGAGTTTTTCTGGCATCGGTAACGGCTCATTACCTTTCGATTCGAGGGTGCTAACGGTGTTAGTGACGTCAGTACCGTGAGAGAGTAGTGCGCCAATAATGTGACAAGGAGAGACGGCCGAAATTCAGACAGCGCCACGGAACGACCAGTAAAAGTACCGCGGCGACGTCTTCGGCTGTCAATCCGTATCATTCTTACGGCGACTTCTGAACGAGACGCATCGGCTCCCGATCATATTCGATCAGAAGTTAATCGCGATTTAAGAGGGAAAATCCTCTTGCGAGAAAGCCGAAAAGACTGCTATTTAAAAGGGTGTAGCGAGCCTTGCTCGAAAAGGTCGGAAAATTCATTCCCACCTTGCTTGGAAAACACGATTCGCATCCCGATTCGTGCAAGTTCACCTGAATCTCGTTCGAGAAAATCTCGATCGAGTTTAATCAATTTAAATTTACAGCAGATTTTGGAGGGCTCGAGAATACACCAATAGGGTGTTCGATCCCTCCTGTGCGGAATTTAACGGTCGATTCCAACGTATAAACGTTTGAATCATATAGAAGTCGGTGGTACCGTCCACACTTCTGTGTGATTGCCCTTCGGCTTAGGAGACTCCAAAAGGAGGCACCTACGTGGTGTACCTCCTGGTGGGCTCACTGTAGTCAGGTCGGCGTCCATTTCGGACGTGTGATTTTCGGTCTTCGCCTCCTTATTTCTACAGATCCCGCCGGTGTAACGTTTAGAGGAGCACCAGTGCGGAGAAGTAACGGAGTCATGGGTCAGGCCGCCGCGTAGTTCAAAATACTGCAACGTATCACGTCGAGTAGTGCATTCGTGCAGTGAACAACGTGTTGTCGGGCTTCGCAGTGTAACTCTCGGCCAAAGAAGTCATCTGTTGGAACGTGTTAAGAGAAGCCGCAGATTGACGGTCGTGCAGTGCACTGCAGTGCGACTCGACGCACAGACTCAGTGTGCATACTCACGGGAACAGTGCATTAGGAGCCTTACAACCTCCTCTTGCATCCCCGTCCACTGTCGGCGAAGAAAAGAAGTTTAATTCTTTTCCTAGCCAAAATACAGTCCACTTTTATATTTCGTAATTTACGACAAGTTTACAATTCTCCGCTCCGGTACGTTCGAATTACGAAGCCAGGAGCGCGAGCAAACGAGCGCGACGAAGATACGTATACCGTGTACGTGTGTCTAACACATAGTCGTGTTTTTCTGTTCATAGGAATCTTGGCCTACCTCAAGCCTGCGAGTTCGGCGACCCAGCATCGCGGAACGGCCAGACACGAGGCCAAATTAATATTCTTATGTTCAGTCTCGTTATTTTATTATAATTGTCATTGGTTTTTCTTTTTGTTTTCGTTTATTTTTGTAATAAACGGTCGGTCTTAAAGGCCGACGAAAAGAAAACCATTTGTGTCCGATTCACTTCCCCTATAAAACTCCCACACCTCTATCCGGACTCATTCGTTAAAAGTATATATCAATACTTTGTAACACTATTGGTGTTATTTGCCAAGAGTAAATATTATATTCTTGTGTAATTAAACGCTACAAAAAGACACGAGTAAACACAATTTTATTCCATATATAAATCATCAAAATTCTTTTATTCTTTTTCGACAATTAGTGTTATAGTAATGCAACTTTAAAGAATTCATGTCTTTTGCTGGCATTGGAATCTCTAATCGCGGCACGTGTAACTGCACCGGACCATTTCGCCAGGAACAATTCGTTTTCGGTACGTTCTGAGCGTAAATTTCGTTCTAAATGAAAATTGCTATCACTTTTCAGCTCGGTTTCGCGAGCAGGAGTGGTTGCAGCGCCCTTTGGCCCTATCAACCGCTGCATCTTGATTCAACGCACGTCTAACGACCTGCCAACCAAAGTGGTTTATCTAAACTTACGCTCGGAATGTGCCGCGAAACTTTTTCGCCGATGAAAAGGCAACGTGGTCTTCGAACGTTAGGAAAACAGCGTTATATTCTCGCCTCGAACCAAACAAGCTATTCCATCGCGTACTTTTCAACGTTTGGATAAGCAAAACAATTATTTACTCAAAATATGTACTAGATACTTTCACTTTGGAGGAAACAAGGCATGGAGCATTTATCCAAGTTTATTTTAAAATAATTTAATATGTTTAGAATTCTATTTTTGTTATAAAACGTGACAATACTGAAGAAGGAACGTGATGATCATTAAATTCAACTCTTTCAAATGAAATAAACCGTTTCTGAGTTTTGAGAGTGATTTTTTCTACGAACAAGCAATAAATAACGGTAAACTAGAGTCGAAATTGTTAACGATAAGTACGTAGGGTGGAAAAGCGGTTATCAGGGCTACCTATTATACGAACATTGGCCAGCTGACTCTCGATCATCCGGACATGCAATTAGAAGTTCTTGTGCTCAAGATATGGAAACAGTTTTGTCCGAGTAATGTAACAGGCACAGTTTGCCAATATATCAGGGCAAGTAATCTACCCATTTGTACGGAGAATCAACTATCCGCCGTGTAATTACTGTATAATTATCAGTTACATGCAGTGGTGGCTAATAATTACTGTATAATTTTGTATAATTGCAAGTTTCGCTTAACTACCTATTGTAAGTACCTTCGAGCTTCGTTTTTGCTTCGAGGAAACAAAATTTTTACTTTCGATAAAGTGTGGGGTATATTGAAATCACTCGAGCCAATGAATCCTCGTAATTTCAATTTCTTCTCGAGGAATATATTTTTTTAAAGGTTGGAACACGCGACAAATTCCCATTTCATCTTGAACGCAGCGTAGTCGTGTTTCCTTTTTACATTTAATATTAGTAAGAGCTGAAAATCCCAATTCGCATAGGTACGACGCAGACTGAAATGGGATTTTCAGCTCTTAGTAATATTAAGGGGGTCTTCTACTGTGAAGGCTGTTTTGTTCAGCTTTCTTTCGGAATTTTTTTGAGGAATAATGGAAACACACACAGTTATAACTTTTATATCGAGTGTATTAATTATTGAACTTTGTTTACAAATTTTTGTAAAGCATAATAATAACAATAATTAGCTTTATAGCACTGGAATGATGACCATGTATAAAAAATGTTGACGGATGGCGCCCATGATTGACGATTTTTTATTCATCTGAAATTGAAAAATCGAATAGCATTTTAATATGTAGATCTATGGCTATCGTGTGAACTAGAATTAAATAAAAATATTCAAATTTGAATATTTGACAAAGCTTTTAAGAAAAAAGTCAATTCTTCGTATTTTTTTTTCAACCTTTTAAGCTAAAGAACAAGAAATTAGTAAAATATTTCAATTATCCTAGTTCACACGAAAACTAGAGGTGTATGAAAGATGTGTACGAAATTTTAGCGAAATCGGTTGAAGACTTTTTGAGATATCGTGGGCGCTGCTTCAAGAAAATGCGTTTCGAGAAAAACGCGTTTGAAGTTCAAGTACGTATGACACAAAGATAATTTTACTTACCATTAATCTGCAATGCTTGGACCATACAGTACACCTTCAGTTTCTTCCTGGAAGTCATGCAGAAGTGAATTTTCTTCTCGATTTTGAATCCGAGATTTTTTGGCGAAGTCAGACGATTTTCGTTCGAAGCGGTACAGGCGAGCGTTGTCACGGTGCGTAGAATATGTGCAGGAATTGGTGCCAATTTTCAATCC